CAGAAAAATAAGTGTTAGTCATCAAACTTGAATTCTTTCTTTCTTTAGTGTTAAAAAAAAAAAAAGAATCAATAAGTGGTTGGATAAAATGAGGAAGAAGAGTAGAAGGAAAACGCATAATGAAGGAGGGAAGGAAGAAAAGAGGAAGTCAATGAAGTGGAGGTCACTACTGCTCAAAGCAAAAGGAAAAATACAAAGTGTGACCCACAAAACATTATATGAAGAAAAATGATTATGAGAGAGAAAGAGAGAGAGAGAGAGTAAAACGAGATTATAACATAATAGATGTAAAGCCGATTCAATTGCTAAGAGAAAGAACATGGATAGAAGAATGCCACTTTTGCCAGACATCAATCATGCCAGGTTGTCTATCTGTTACAAATATAATATAATTGATTTTCTAGCACTATATGATACTTATATTCTTCTTGTTACGCTGGCTATAATTAATCTGTAGAAAAACAAAACATAAACAATGTATGTGTGTACATGGATACAAGATCAGAGATGAACAGGGTGGTGGGGTCTAAAAAAAATAAAGATTGGGTAATTAGGTTCATTTAGATAATGTCTAAATGTAATATTCCTAATGAGTGGAATTTGAATTTGCTGGTTTGTTTTGGCCAGGCTAAATGAAAAGCATCCGCAATCAAGATTTATCTCAGCAGATCATTTTCATTTATTTTCTAGATCTTCTATTGTAATATGTGTAGCCCCAAATAACACATGAAAAGGATTTATCAGAGGACGATTCAAACTTCTGCTTTGTAAAATATACTGACTTAACAAATCCAGAATTTTACAGAATTTTTTAAATTCTGAAGACAAGATAAAAAAAAAAAAAGAATGCTTTTCTTTCTGGGATGATAAAGACAGAGTTACTAAAATACGAACAGAGATGAAATACTTTTTTTTTAAAAATAAGTAAAACATGAAACTTATTTTAATCTCCAGATTTTCTTTGACATGAAATGGGAATGTAAAGAATGTAATGAAAAATGACTTTGATAATTGATTTTACTCAACATAGAAAATGAATCAGTATAAATACACACAACCAATTCATCCTCCTTACATCATTGTCTACTGACTTTGGTGAAAAGGTTAATAAGTGTGGAAGCCCACATGTGGACAGTCAATGTTAGAAAAAGGTAGAGGCTTGCTTATGTTATTAGCAGAACTTTTGATAACAAAAAAGAAAAAAAAAGACAGACTTTATAAAGAAAAGTGGATCAAAATAGATTCCAATCTCTGCAGATTTTCTAGTTTTATTGCAGTTACTTTTAAGCAGTATATCACTGAAGAGGGGTAACAAGAAATCCACCCCCCACTTTGAACATGTTTTGTCATTTTCTGCACTAAATGGACACACACAAACTGTTAAAGGAAATAGAAATGAAAGCACTTCTCAAGTGAGAGAGTAAAGTGTGTGTGTGTGTGTATATATATATATATATATATATATATATATATATATATATATATATATATATATATATATATATCCCCAGGAAAAAAAAAACAAAAAAGACATTCCTCTCTAGTTGTGCAAGAAATTCCAGTATGGTGGGAGGGACTATGTAGTAGAAATTGGTTCAGAAGGAATGTAGCTAACAGCTGGAAACTGCAAGTGGAATTGGTATATGGTGGTGATGATGATTCTGCTAATAAATATACCAGCTACCAAAGAATCATCACCATCAGTCGTAATAGAAGCAGTGGTAAGTAGCAACAGTAAAATCTACATTGGCAGATGCCAACTGAATATTTATCCCAGAAAGGTAATCAAACAGCAATGCAACATCAACCTTTGACCCAGGACACATCAATACTGACAAGGTAGGACAGGTATACACCTAGCAACCTTGAAAGAACTCGAATGAAATACATGATAAAAATCCTTTATTCATTATCATTAACAACTCAAAGGAATTTCAATCATGAAACGTATTAAAAAAATGTACCAGTCAGTATTTTTAGACTAGGAAAACAAAGGCAAGATCCCAAATTCAGCTTTCATCTAATATTCAGATTTTTTCATTAATATAAAACATTTTTATTAGCTTTGCTTTCAATCATCTTCAGTATATATTGCAGATTATTATATATTTTTTTTCTCCTTTCATTAATATAGCTAAAGAAGATTGGCAGAGCATATATCCAACAATCTATCAGTCAGTAAGCAGAGCAGGACTCAAGTGCTGACAAACAAATCATCTTCACATAATCTTTACATACAGAAAAAGCAATAAATAAATAAATAAAAAAAAAATCAAACATCAGATGAAAGTATTTCCTTATTTATCAAAAACTTTTGTTACACAAGAATTGCAAGGGAAGTGAAAAAAGCTCCTTAAAAGGCTACATATCCATTAACCAATACCTTGAAAATATTTGTAATCATTTTGTTTTAATACTATTTTCTTTGAATAATTAACATCACCTAGATTGAATAAACAGGTTTTAAAAATCCAACCAAGACAATATAATAATTGAGAAGAGAGAGAAGTGATATTGTGTGCAGACAAGGAAAGATACAAGAATTCCATGTAAAATGATAATTAATTCTTCTTATATGTTTGGATTAAATTAAAACCAAATTTGCATAAGATTTATGCAATGGCCAATTTTTTTTAAATTAATGAATTTTTGGAAAGATTGCATTTTCTTTACTGTTCTTGGAGAAAGGGTAAGAAAGACTGATGATAAATTTCCAAACCAAATATAAAATTCTTCAAACCTGTAGAAGCAATATAAGATTTCTTGAACTAATTCAAACCCAGGAATACCTTTTCAAAACTTTATATTCAACATAAAGGTTTCTCGTGAGAAAAGGTTTAACAAGTTTGAAATGAGAAAATGAAATTGATATGGAAATTCTTAGTTTGAATCTCATTTCATGCATGGACCTTTGGAAAAGAAATTTAAAATCTCATTAAAAAAAAAAAAAGACCAAAAAAAAAAAAAAAAACACAAGTTTAGTTCTTATTACACCCTGTTACCATAAAATGGCAACATAACCTGATATGATTTTGTCTTGAATAGAAAAGTAGAAATCTTAGAAGATACAATTTAGTTAGGAATGTTTTTATTTTCATAATGTTAACTTGGACTAGTAATAAATTCTCCCTTTTTTTGCCAGTCATGAAACTGGAATTGAATTCCATGGAAAAAAAAAAAAACGAAAAAAAAAAACAAAAAAAAAAACAACAAAAAATTCTCCAGAAACATTGACACATTTTTGTCATTGGTTGGGAAACAGGCTTTATTGTTATACTTGTCCTCCAAGTGGCATAATAATTTCCATAAAGAAAACCTCAAGGTTTTCAAGCAGACATTGCTGTGTAGGTATTTAGTAAACTTAACCCTTATCAGGAACAACGCCATAATTGTTGAGTGCCCAGTGAGTTCCAAATTCATCACAATAATAATTTATGACATTAACTTGCTCCTTATTGCTCCATGTTGAATTATACATTGATAGTTTTACTTTAAGTAAGATAATAAAGCAACCTTTTCTTTTCTTTCTTTTGACAGAGCAGTAGAATGGCTTTCTAAATTATCAGTTCTGCCTACTTTTCAATGTCCTTCCCAAGATATAAAAGACAAAAACGTTGATTTTTTTTAAAGAAGTCAGTATCCATTTATTTAAAGTAGTTTTGTGTGGAATGGATGAAGTATTTTCTCTTATTTTGAAAAACTGATAACATTGATGCTGAAAAAACAAATACTAAGACAATTATACAAAACCTATGTACTGCAGCACTGTAATCACAATTTTGTGTGTGTGCGTGTATGTATGTATGTATGTGCAATTCTGTAAGTTGTAGTGAATAATCCTAATAAAAAAAAAGAAAAGAAAGAAAATCTGCAGGGTTGAAATAGTTACTGAAAATATAAAATATGGGTCAAAATTCATTCTAAATTAAAATTATATTTTTTTTCTCAAAGATAAATAATGAAAATTGGTCATAAGAGATAAAAACATTTTGTTTCAATCAAGTAAAAAAACAAAAAAAATAAACAACCAAACAAATAATCTGCAAGGCCAAGGAAGATGATATGCAAGGATCCAGAAAAAGAGAAGAGCCAAGAATAGTTTTTTTTTTTTTTTTTTTTTTATTAAATCTCTTCAAACATTTCATCTGCCAAGATGTGTTGAAACAAAGAGTTCACTTTGTAAAGCTGTCAGTTAGTAACTTGCAGCATTTAAAGGACCTGCTGCTAATATTCTGGAACCAGAAGAAATCTTTACAAGTCTTGTAGAATCCATGTCTGATTAGTTAAGAGCTGCTTTGCAGGGACATAGAGGACCAACACCTTATTAGGCAAGTGGTCATAACATTTTAATTCATTTTAAATCACACCAAAATAAGACAAACAGTTCTGAACTGACTGATAAACTGCTTGATTTAATCTTTTATCTGAAAACTACAATTATAAGAACTAAAAAAAAAAAAAAAAAAAAAAAAAAATCAATTAACATAAATTTCGTTGTATGTTTGTAAAGACGCATTCAGTAAATATGTTGAGTCTGGTTACATCGCCCGGTTCATACTCCTCCCCAGTCTTTTGATAGGAGTAGAGGTTTATCCCTTGTTTTCTGTTTCAGATTGGGTTTCCAATTCCTTCTAAAGTTTTCTCATTCTCTTTCATTTCCAGTAGCAATCTTCTGTCTTAGTGGCATTATTGACTTACTTGGGGTGAATTGATTTAAAAAAAAATTATCCTAATGTCTACACAGACTGTTTTTCTTTTAATGGAGATTTTTATTTTTTTTAGTTTGCTGTAAAAGCTCAAAATATATTTAGATTTAATAATAAATAAATAAAAGTTATATTGCACTTTCTTCTATTCAATTTTTGAAGATAATAAAACAAAATAAAGAAATTATTTTTTTATCCCAAATGATAGGAAATCGATGCGAGTGTAAGCAGAAAACGTTTGCCTATGTTGCCATGTTGTGAAATCACATGGGAAAGCCAAGAGTAAGCACATACCAGAGGCACAACTGCGGGTGGAGCTTGGTCAAGATCCTCTCCTCCCAATACTATAGAGCGCCGCCAATTGTCTGTGACGGCCTGGGTAGCCAAAGTGTCAGGAATCACAGCAGCGGCAGCCGGTTGCTGAATGGAACGCTGGGAAGTCAGAGCTGGTATCTGTTGTGGCCAGGAACTCACTACAACTTGACGATTACCATGCCAGGAATTCACAGGAGGATTCTATTGAAACAAAACAGGATACAAACAAATCAGGAAGGGAAAGGATCAAAGCAGCAGATTTCAACAGTTAAAAGAAACGCCAATGGGATTTTCTACTCTTTTTCCTACACTCAAGATGTCAAATAAAACATTAAAAGAAGAAAAGCCTACTTTTCTTTTAAATTACAAAATTTTAAAAACTCAAAGACTAAACTATACTCTTGAAGGTACAACATCATAAAGGCAACAGTTTTACTACACATTGGAGAATTTCATTAATTAAAAATATCTATTGTCTTAATAAAAATGAAGTTTTTCAAATACAGAACAGCAACTGAAAAACTTAAATTTTTGTTAAAAATCTTATGCCAAACACACATCATATTCAGTGTATTTAAGTGAGAAATGTCTTCCAACTTAATCACATACTTTCATACACACAACTGAAAGACACATATCAAAAGCCAGCAGAATTTTTGCCCGAAAAGTAAATAACTAGAGTAACAAGAATCAATAAATCAATAAATGTTCAATGGACTTTTTATCTCATTGACTCCATTCTAAAAATTTAAATGTTGTCAGGTTCTTAAAGAACTCTAGTGTGAGATGTATTTCAAATTTGAAATCTATGAACAGCATCCATGTTTGTTTCTATGGAGTATAAATGAGATCTGGTAATAATTCAATAGATTTATCAGACCATATGACTTTGAAGAGCAACTTTATGTGAAACTCTGGAGTCAGTCAATGAAATAAGTCCATCAAACATTTATTGATACAGTGTGTGTGTATATATATATATATATATATATATATATATATATATATATATATATACACACACACACCTATACAGGGATAGTAGCAAAGTTATTATCATCATGATATTTTGTAAGTCATTTATCAGTATACAAACAGAGTATCAAAATCAAACAAACAACTGTAAAAAGTGATTACAAAAAAAGAAATTTGTTTTCATTCTCTACACTCAAATTTTCTTTTGCAAAATGACCTTCTATCCAATGACAGGAAATTCATTTCAGAATCACATATTTGAACATGCTTTTGTATGAATGAGAAAAAACCTGATGGTCTGTCTATTTGTGAAATATGACTGGTGTAGTGGCTGAGCACACCTCACAGAGCATTACTACTGTATTGAGCTCAATGTTGATTGTTTACTCAATACTTTGTAAATAACATTTCTGAAATATTATAAGCAATAAAAATATTTTATTTGGAAATAAGAAAAGAATATTTAAATCAGTTATAGCAAAAAAAAAAAATCCAACTTTTTTGCCATGCATATTGAATCAATAGCAACTTTTCTTAATTACATGAAGCTTCTCAATCAATTTTGGTTGGATGACTTCACACAGGCATCCATCATATCTGTACTGGAAAATTTTTATAATGAAACAAGTCAAAGCTGGCTTGGATTCTGACCATAAAAAACACAGAATAAATTTAGGTGATTTTAGCTCTCATTTGAAGAAGAAAAAAGTTTTTCAAAGTTTTACTTACTGCCATGAAGACTTGTCCTCGCCCTCTGTCTATTACAGGAGTTAAGTGCTGGGTAGTCACAGCCTGAAAGAAATTTCAGGGGTAACGTTAGATCAACATGTATTTCATTTGTCATTGTCACTGCTTGGGCATTTAATCAATTCAAATTCATATGGCCACTTAAGGTCTTTGAGTAAAGACAACACTATATTTGCCAAGAAACACATGTCACAAATGCAAGGGAAAGATAAGAATATAATCTTAACAAAAAATGCCAACATTTTTTTTTTCAGTGGTAAATAATAAGAGGAATTTATACAGGACTTAATGGAAAAGAATAAAATAGAAGTTTAAAGACAAAATTTCTTCCCAGCAGTTTTCTTGAGTTTTTCTTGTCTTTGAGAAGTAATGCAGTACAGTACAGAAAGAAAAAGCTATACTAAACTCTATTCAAGCAAAAAGGCTTCTTGGCTGATTGTATTAAGAGGGAGAGGCAAAACTTTATTATGGAAAATGGAATTTACCTGTGACATAATCTGAGGCTGTAACTGGAGAGTTTGGTGGGCCTGTGTAACCATGGGCACAACATTTGGATATCGATTTGGAGAGTTGAGACCTGAAACACACACACACACACACACAAAAAAAAACAAAAAACCCATCAGGAAGAATTTAGAAAAGGGTTTGATGTACAAAGTTTTTGTTGGTTTAAATACATAAAAACAATCTTCCAGAAACACAAATACTTATTTGGAATATAATCAGTATGCCATTAAGATGCTTGCTAATATTGTACTCTGCAAGGCACACATTTTACATGAATAAATGTTGCTGCATTTTTACAACTGAACATGAAACTTGACTCAAACAAGATGAAAAATTAAATAATTATTCCTATTTCTTGATGACCAATAGCATTAGAATCTGAAACCTCAGCTTCACAAATCTCTTTTTCTACTGATTGAAGAAAAATTTTAATAGGAAAAACAAAAACTTACTTGAAACTAAATATGAGAAATTTTAATGTGTTCAATTAAGAATTTATTTAATAAAATTATTTTTAAAAAAAAAAAAAAGGATATTTTATATTAGACCCTTTAAAAAGGACATGAGATATATTCAGCTCTAGAGTATCTAAATAAATGGTATACTATTTCTTTCGAGGCCTATAGATATATTCATATCTATTAGCAAGGACAAATATAAACATTCATGACCATTGTTGAAATATTGTATATTTAGCAGGTGGTTTAGAAACCATGGCAATTTGGAAGAGATTGTTTCACCTTGAATTGGTGCTGGCACAACAAGAGATGGCAACAGAGGCTGACGGAATGGATCATGTCGGCTAAACTGTGTGCTACTTCTCTGGGAGGGTATTTGTTGATTGAGTTGCTGGGTCGCCACCTGAGGTGGTCCAGGCTGGTAAGGGAGATAAGTTGCTCCAGATTGACCAGAATATTGTAAATAGGGCAGCTCAGTAGCTTGGGGAGCAGTCCCACTGAAATTCTGAGAAGCCACCTAAAAAAAAAAAAAAAAAAAAAAAAAAAGAAAAAGAGAAACACACAAATTCAAGAACATATTCTGGTTTAAATTATAATTTGCAATAATACCTTTTCAATGTTGTGGAGATTTAATGCGAATTAAATGAAAGATTTTTAAATCCATTTATTTAAAATCCTTTTAATATATATATATATATATATAAATGTTTGTTTGAATAAATGATTGAGGTATAGAGAACATGAGAAAAGATATTAAACAAACATAAAACCATTTGTTCATGCTAAAGATGATTTAAAGTTTTTTTTTTTTTAAAATGTAGAATTTTCAATTTTAGATAAAACAACAAATTTAAAAGTCAAGGTTTTATTTGAATTTTACTTCTGTAAAGTAATTTGTAATAATTTACAAGCCTAACAGCCATATTTCATCCCAAAAGAATTTACTAACTCTGAACAAATACAAGAAACAAATTTATTCGAGTTTCAATGGACCATCAATGTATAATTAATTTAAGCAACTTACTTGTGGAGGCAATCCATTAATTTGGTTATTGAAGGTAACAGTGATGTTGCCAGTAGACGATGGAACCAAATTGGCTACAACCGAGCCACTGTTTTGGTTTAAATCATAAGCACTTATTGTTGTTGGTCGTCTACATATCTCCATACTCTGCACACTACTTTTTACTCTGTTGGAGAAAAATAAAGGAGCCATGTTAAACTGTATAATTTTTCTTGAAATTGTTTAGTACTTTGGATTTTACAAACAAAAAGGAAATAAAAGAAGAAGAAAGGAGAGAGAAAGGATTTGTAACTAATTCAAAGACACTAGGACTAAGCGATAAAATAATTATCTTACTTGATGAGCATAATGATAAAGAGTTAGAACAATTTAATGCTACAAAAAGCCAAATAAGTTCTTAGAAGGAGAAAAGACACAGGTCTCAAGTTCCATCCCAAGCATGAAATCAGAAAGATAAAGAGAAAACAGTGGTAACTAAAATACAGATTGAAGCTTGAAAACAATTCCCAATTTTGTTAGTGGGGGAAAGATTTAAAAAAAAGAAAAGAAAGGGTATCATAAAAAGAACTCATAAGCAAGATAAATAAAAATCCTTGTTATTAAGAATCAAGATATATCTCATATTATCCTATGGGTTTTATTTTTTGTTTGTTTATTTTTCTTCTTTTATGACATTAGTCAATATTATAGAAAAAAAAGAAAAGAAATTGCTACATTGTGAAGATGGTTAATAATTGTTGATCAGTAACTAGCTTACATATTACAGTGTCCGTAATCACCAAGGTGACCCATGACCACAAATAAGTGATTGAGGGCTTCTCCAGGAGTAATTCGGCGATCCCTGTCAAGAGTCAACATTCGTTTGAGCAAGTCAATAAATTCCCGTCTGTCCACCTTTTCAGCCACCAACTCCCGGCCCTCCAAGTCCTGTGGTACATTAATCTGAAAGAAAACATCATCCGTATCATAGGATCCCAAAACAGACTAATACAAAAACATAAAAAATAAACACAAATTATCTACTGTGCACATAAAAAGGCTTAGAGGAGACATGGGTTGAATCTAAGAGAAAGACATTAAATTCAATTCCAGCTTTCTTGCAAAAACTTATTTCAAAAACAAGTTAATGTAAAATTCTGTAAGAGTCACTTAGTAATAATGATTAGCCTTTCATAAAGGATTTGGATAATAATTACATCAAGTTGTCAGATGGATTAAATAATTTAGAAAACAAAAACAAAGGTGATAACATAATGCTCTATGAGAAATGCACAATGAATATGTTTCAACAAGTCTCATACATAGCTGAAAAAAAAATAAGCTAGAAGCTTTTGAAAGTAATCAAAACTCAACACGGCCAATTTTTCCCAGGATGTTGTACAGTTAATCTATATATGTGGGGCATAGTCAAAATTTGCAGCATAGACATTATTGATAATTGATTACAGCAACTAGTTTTGTACAGTCAAAAAAAAAAAAAAAAAAAAATTTTTAAAATGACCAAGCTGATGAGAATTCCTGCCTTGTAAGTTCTAACAGAACCAAATAGTCTCAGCATTGTTTCTTATTCTATATCAATAGTAGAAATTTAGTACAGAAATGTTTGAAAAAAATAAATAAATAAATAAATAAAATAAATAAAAAATAAAAGACAAGATTAATTCAAATCAATGATTGCAATAGATATTCTATTATTACTGACTGACTTATGAAATAACCCACTTAGAAATGGCCCAGTGATGGGAAAAATTTATTTTGCTGAAAACAAGGTCCATTCAATAAATATATATATATATATATATATATATATATATATATGTATGTATGTATGTAAAAAGTCCCCCAACCAAAAAAAAAACAATCTATGTGTATTTTCGAACACAGATTCGTTGAGAAAAATCAATAGTGAAAATTGTAGAAGCAACAAGTTTAATGGATAAGAGTAAATATTTAGAATTTGGAGAAAACAACAGGCAGTTATGATGATAATGACAAAGTGTTGTATGTGATACACTTGAGCAACACAATTACATATTCAGGAATATATATATATATATATATATATATATATATAAAAATATAGTCAATTGCTGAAACCTCCTGATGAGTGGACTGAACAATGACAAAATATATTTGTCTGAAACTTTGGTGTCAAGATGCTGAAGATCAATCAGTGAAGTGACAAATTTTATTCATATTAATCCTTTGATGTGTTGAGAGAGAGAGCTCTGTTCTCTCAGAAGGTTAAGAGGTAAGCTGTTAGCGAAAAGATATAGTTTTTGAAAAAATGTACGTCTTTCATAAATTATTTGATATCTTTAAAAGTGATGATAAACATGCATGTTAATCTATAAAGAATTTCTCCAACTAAAACAGCCAAGAGAATTAAAAAATTTGACATGTGAATTCATGGAGGCATTTTATAAGAGGTTAATTAAGTCTGACTCAAGCATTTTAAGATTCTGATATTCAAGGTCAAAGTTGGCTAAAAACACAAAACAAGCAAGTGCATTTTTTTTTTAAAATATGAAAATGTTTTCTAAAAAAAAAAAAAAAAAAAAGGTTTAATCAAACATTAACGTAAAAAAGAATCCATGAACATAGTATATATCCTCCACCTTCACCAATTAATTTCTGCTTTGGTGTCTTTTTTTTTTTTTTAATATTAAATGTCAGGATACAAAGTTACTGATGATCTGATGAGATCATGTGAGAAATGAAGAGGAGGCACTTATTTAAGCACATGCTAAATAAAACAACCAAGAAACTCTAAGTAATACAGTTAAGCTACTAATACCTATGGTTGCCAGAAAAACAAAAACAAAAAAATGTATAGTTGATAAGTTATTATTTCTATTATGTACAAAATGAAACTGATTTGATATAAAAAAAAAAAAAAGAAGTAGAATTAGTTGTAGTTAAAAATTTAAGATAAAATGATCTTAGTTATAATGTTTATGTGCATTTCTAGAACATATTTTAGCTCTTTTTTTAAAACTTTGAGAAAAAGTTTATTGAACTTTTAACAATGAAAATTTAATTCCTATATATCTCATATAATTCTTCTTTTATGTACCATAGCCATTCAGAAGGTGGGTGATCATAACTCTACAACTTCCTATCCTTTGTATTTCTAAGCAATGATTAACTTTATCATCCCCCTTTGTCCCAACTAAAAAAAAAAAAAAAAAAAAAAAAAAAATCAAGAAATAGCACTGCCCCCAACTGCAAAATAACTTGATAACATTTTTTTTTTAAATTTTATAATAGGTAAGCATCCAAATAGACAAACAATCAAATTCCAATAAAAAACATTAGATGGTAATTAGAAATATCTTTCAACAAAAACTAAAATAGGTTTTGTGTTCCAGTCCGGAAAACAAAAAGTGAAATGAAGAAAATGATGCTCTTTTAACAAACTCTGGAAAATTTGAAGAGAATCTTTGAAGCAAAAAGCAAATTCACAAGATGAATACAGAATGATTCAAATGTCAGAACCTTTTCCCATAAATGAAATAATACTAGCCATTTTTGACAATGAAAAATACAAACTGACATCAATGTCACAAGATGCTTAAATTGAGATGAAGTCAAAATAAAGTTCAAATAATCCAGCTTAGTTATTGTAAGCAATGCCAGGGATTGGCTGTTCTAATCAAGTGATTAGAAGAGGATTAGCAAAAATGCTAATCCAAAAGTATCTTGATTAAAAAAACAAACTCTATTACAAAAATAAAATAGTCTGTTAAAAGGTGAGAGAAAAAAAAAAACAGCTTATCTTGAACAAGGAAATATATCCAGAGAATTTGTCACTGCAATGAGATTTCCTTCTTCCTGGTAAAGCAATATGAGAGTAAATAAGCATTTTTATTCAAAAGGTGTTGGAACTAAATGCAGTTTGGATTTCAAAATTATATCCATCTTTATTTTTCATTTTTATAAAGTTTAGACTTAGGAAAAAAAAAAAAAAATAAAAAAAAAAAAATGACCAAATCGTGAATAAAATGAAACCTATGCAAAAAATCAGAAATTCTCATATCTCAAAAAAGTGTTCCTCTGTATGAAAATATTGCCGCACTCAATTTTAGGCTATATTCAGTTTATAGACACTTGTGAGAGTAAAGAAAAATGGGCCCCCACCACACATACAGAAGACAAGATAGAGCCAAAGCAAATTCCAGAAACAATGTTCAAAAATTATTTTCTTCTTAAGTAAAAACTACAAAAGAATGGAATCAAAATTTAAATGAATTTGAAGAATATTGGAAAAGAAAAATGTGATGACGACATTCCATGAACTTTTACATTAATTACTAATTTTTATCGAGTGGAGAAAGTAAAAGAAAATAAAGAAAGTAAAAGCTTTTTATTTTATTATTTAGTTATTTTTTAAAAAGAGTTTAGCAATGAAAAGAAAAATAATTTGTTATTTGACTGTCAAACAAAAAACCATAATAGCCTATTAAAATATTTATTATCCACAGTACAGCATAGAAAAGGGATGAAAAAAATAAAATTAACTGATAGATTGGTCAAAATGAAAAGACATCGATAAGGATGCTAACTCTGAAGAACTTTTGGCATCCTACCAACAGAAAGTGATTGAGTCTAAATAGAATCAAGTCACAAAATCAAATTGTAAATATTTGAAATAATGTTTGACATTTATAATATGTTAAAGCAGTCAGAAAGAATAAAAGTGACTTATGTGCTGACATGGGCTACATGGAGGGTGGGTACTCAACAAAACTTGTTCAGTAAGATTTGGCAGTTTTGAAAATCTTTTGGCACTTCACACATAAAATATAAAAAAATAAAATGCACACCAATGAAAAGCTACATCTGAGAAATGGTGAATGAATCAGCATTACATCAAAAATCAAGTATGAAATATATTTAGAGGCTGTAGGATATTTTGGGGCCACAAACCTTTTCTCAAATAAACTGATGAAAAATAAAATTACCACATTATGAATGTGTGTTTCAATTTACTCAAGACTAAATGTAATACATTATTAATGAAACAATAATATATAGTAGAGTAAACAATCATATGTATACAGATTCCAAGATAAAGGAGTGTATCAAGTCTTCACTCCCACATATTAATTCACTGTATATTCTCCTTGTACATTAGACATACTTTTGTATGCATACAACTGGTGACTACCATCCTAAAATATATTATTCTATACCTCTTGTAACTGCAAAAGCTGTAGGTGAGCTAATTGAATGAGTTAGTAATTGTCCCATCATGTCCTATACATTCTCTATGGGAGATTCTGGTGATCATGAAAGTTGTTGAACATTCTGCAGAGCATGTTGAGTAGCAGGGAAATCATGAGGAGCAGGTATTATCCTATAGAAACTATATATCACCTTTCAGTTGTAGTGTATTGGAGTATTGCTGTCATACCTGGGTTGGAGCTGCTCAATCCTCACTTTCCAGACTTGACAGAGTTCAAAGGCATGTTTGCAGCCTTATGGGTGATGAATTATTTTCCACCCTAAAACTCCCCTTCTCTATTCTATTGCTATTTCCATGACCAATGTTCAGATGGGTTACATTCCTTAATTCCACAAGTTAAAACCTCCACAGCTAAGACCCACCAAGTCACATTATTCTTATTCTTTTCATATTCCATTGGAAGGAAGACGTTCCATTCAGACAGATTCTTCCCAAGAGCTGCCATTTTATGAAAAAGAAACTCCTGAGGAGATGCTTCTATGACTGCTACAATTTTAACCTCTTCAAGTTTAGGGTCAATCATTAACTACTTTCACCAACCTTATTCAGTAAGATTCTACCTTGACAGGCTTTTTCCATACTAACACTTCTGAGAGAATAAGTTGTGATCTGTGTTGTGGATATCCTTCAGTCTGCCCTCAGAATGAGTCAATCTTCATGATATAAGATGTCCAGAAGATTCATTTTTAACCAG